CCTGAACAGCTTAAGAAAGAATGCAAAAGCATATATATTATTGCTATAAAGCACAAACAGTGCCAGAGCTGTTGGTGAGGTTTGGTTTGGTTGGGGTTTCTTGATACAGAAAGAAAATAAACTGCTCAAGTGTATTATTTTGGAAATTACTCCACTAAGCAGAGACTCCCACCATCAGCTGAGACAGCTTTGGTTGCTTTCTAAAGACCCACCAGTGTCATTGCTCCATTTCTGAAATAGCTGGAAGTGCTAGCTTCTTATAAATGTTATATATATTAATACTAAAAGACTTGTGTTCTACAGATGACAGAGGTATCAACAAGCTGTATTTCAAACTCCTTCCCCTTCCTTGTAAGTACAGAGGAAAAGAGGACTACTAGACTTCTTTTCGGCAGAAGATGTAACATTAATCAAGCTCCTCAAACATCCTCCAAGAAGGATGATTTCAACATGTTCTGTTCCAGCTTTCTGGACAGAAACACCTAAATTCAGATTTGCAATTGAATAACCTGCCAATAAGAGACTGAGGCTACCACACAGAAGGCTGAAGTTTCTTTTATGAAGGCAACTAGGAACAATTTTGAGTAAGTCTGAGAATTCACAGAAGACACTACACAGCTGTACTAGTTACTGCTTCAACTGCAGGTAAACATTGCTGAAATAAGGCTTAATGAAGAGACTTTTACTCTGTATAACCAGAGGGGAGAGACCACTATTCTCCCTGTTACTGTTCATCAGCATCTTGCAGGCTCAAGCTTCTTTAATTCAAAAGACAGATGTTTTTTGTTAACACAGAGAACATACTACAATTAAGACAAGAGCCTTTCCTTTCCCAAAGGGACACCAATGAGCATAATCACAGAATCACGGAATTCTAGGGGTTGGAAGGGACCTCGAAAGCTCACCCAGTCCAACCCCCCTGCCAGAGCAGGATCACCCCAAGCACATCACACAGGAACGTGTCCAGGCGGGTTTGAATGTCTCCAGAGAAGGAGACTCCACAGCCTCTCTGGGCAGCCTGTCCCAGGGCTCTGTCACTGCTCCCCTGAGAGGCGAGCGCTGTGTGCGGACTTCTTGGCAGATCCCAATAAGTTAAATTCATTCCAAAAAGGAGATATAATAGGTTGAAGATCACGACAGCAGCCTAAAGGTACCTGAGGAAATTCTGAGTCCCTGTGCTGTCTTCCAATCCATACAGCTGGCCACATTAGCATCTGTTTAGAGAACAAGTGTCTTCCTTTGAATCACTCATCTCTACCACTAGATAACTTAGCTAGAGAAGCCTCACAGCTTTACTTGTGACCCTAAATTGTAAGAGTCTTCAGAGCTAGTTCAGTATTTTGTTTAGAAGAGTTCTTTCCATATCCTCATGGTATCACATCGTGTGCACTTTCAACCTGTGTCACAGCAATAGCCAAAATGTGTTGCACTAGTTACTGGTGCACAGACACCAGGCTATGCACAATGAATACTATCCAATTAAGTGAAGAAAAAGAAAGACCTGTGCAGCAGAAGAGATTAACTCCTCCTCACTGTTTGTTGATTCAAACTATACCTAACTGATTTGGACTCCTCTGGTTACTGACACTTTTAACAATGTTAAATTGCAAGACCTTCCCCCCCTCCAGTCACACTCCACCCCACAAGTCAGATCGATTGGTATTGCTCACACCACCTCTTACTGACACAGTGCCCTAGACAGCACCTTGCACAAACCAACCTCAACTAGACAAGGATGCAGGCAAAAATCAAGCAGGTGAAGAACTACTTTCCCAAAACAATGCTTGGGTCTCCTGTAAAACAAAGGGTTAATTCGCAAGCAAGCCATGCATGCCCTAAAGAGAAAAGCATTTTAATCTGTACTAGATTTATAAATAGCATCCAATAGCCAGACACCGAGCTAAGTTAACCCCCATTCCCATCATGAGATCGGCCTGTTCCCTCCCCACCGCATATGAGTTCAGAAGGCAGGGAGGCGGCTGAATCTATTCAACTAGGTCAGCCTGCTGCTGAAGGGATTAGGCATGTAATCCAGCCCCTCCCAGCACCGGCGCAGGGAGGAGGGGCAGAACCGGAGGGGGAGCTCGCAGCAGGATGTTTGTTTATGCCACAGATTTGCCTCCCCGGCGGGGTGGGCCTCATCCGCTGGCCCTGCGAGCCAAGCGCTCCGGCTGCAGCTCCAGCAGCCGGCGGTCACGTACAGAACAGCTCGAGATGGAGGAGCTAAGGAACACCCAACTGCAGCCAGAGCTGGAAGCCTCTACTCTGCCCTGCACAGCCCACCCAGAGGGCTAATCAGATGCACGCTTACACATCGTGTGGTATTTCTGAAACATCAAGCCAGTGATGAGAGAGGATTTAAGCCACAGAAGATGGGAAAAAAAATCCTACCCCTCCGGTTTACCTTTAGGTGAATAATCTATACAGGTGAAGGAGAGGAAAAGCAGCACAGATAATACTAGCTTGCTGTGGGCCTCCAGAGACAGCCTTCCCACAAGGATCAGTGTTAGGCTGCTTATCTCTGTCACCATACAACCATCTTCCAGGGTATATTCCCAGAGGTCTCAAGGAGACCTTGTTTGCCTTCAAGGAAGTTTTAAAGTGCTGCCTATGCAAGACATGTTTCTGGTACTAGAATTCCTTCCATCCTCCTCTGGACACACTCCCCTTGAGCTGCAGATGCAGTATCTGCATCAGCATGCACACAGCACACTGTTATTAAGGAAGAAAGACCATTATAAATTAGTAAAAGTATTGAGAGCTCTTGCTCTCACTCTCAGTTGAACAGGGAATGTGTACTAGACAGACATCCCAACATCACTTTCACTCATTATAGGCATGAGACTTATTCCCCTCCATCTTCATCTTGGATAATCCGACTATAGAGAACCAGTTACCACAAGCTATTTAATCATTATGCCACAAAAACTGAAACTAACTCTCAGTGTTGACCAGCATGTTTAACATACCTACATATGCACATATCCTAGTTCTCAGTGACTGAATGCAAGCTTCCTGGTTCTATTTGGTGGAAATACTGCAATTTAGGCCAGAACAGAAAGCTCATGTGGGCCTGTAAACATTTCATATGGAACAAGGTTCAGGGGCAGTATTTCCTTTTCTGGTGAAGTAAAAGTCTCTGAAGATGCAAAACCAGATTAAGCCAACCAATCAGTTTACATCAGCATGAAGACAGCATCCTCAGTCTTCCCATTTATTGCCTGAGACCCGAGAGTCACAATATAAACTTAGAACAGCCTACTGACAGTTCAATGAAAGCTAACCAATGACAAGTCACTTGGCAACCGCTCTCTGCTTGGGCACACTTGGTACAGAGCCTTCCTCCTCTTCTTCCTAAGAGCAGATGCCTCGTGCAGCAACAGCTGATGGCAACCCAGGCTGGTCAAGAGCCAGACTAGATCACTTTCTCTCCAATACCAGGGAGGGCAGACAGAACAGACCTGCAAATGAAGAGGGTAGGAAGAAGCAAAAGACAAAAGCAAGCATGAGGAAGTGGAAGGGGGAGAGGGATAGACAACAAGTAGCAAGAGGAGGAGTCATCTCCCCAGGGGAAGAAGAGAGCAAAACCATACCAAAAACCTGAAAAAAACCTTTAGTGTTCAAAATCAGAGCAGACAGAAGAAAACATGAAGGGTTGCAATACCTATCCCTCCAGTTCTAACTCCAGAGAAAGGGAAAACATACCCTAACATTCCTCCTCAAAAATTTCAACATACAGTCAAAGTATTTGCAATAGATATTCTAGGGAAAAGCCAGAACAAGCATGGATGGCTGTTTCAGAAAGTTGCATTGGAAACCTATCATTGTGCACATCTCTATGTACAATTACTGCTGTCTTACCTGATGAACAAACACATCTTCTTTGGTATCATTTCTGTGAAAAGAAAGTGAGAAGTCATAAGAGATTAGGCTAAGAGACTTAAATAGAAAACCCTGACTTCACAAGTGAAACTCTTCTTTCCCCAGTCTGCAGTACATGCCCTGGATTCCATACCTTCTCTGTAAGTGTACCAAGATCCTGCTCTGAATTTCCAGGATCATATGCTTGACAGCAGAAAGGACTCTCCACCCTTCAAAAGGGTGAGGGGATAGGGGAAGGTACTCTGTAATCTTCTGGCAAATGTTCAATATTTTGTTTTGACATGAAGCTGAGTTAATGACCAGACTGCTTGCCTTTCAGTATCCAACCCAAAGAAAAATACTTCCACAGGAGCTGCAACCTGAGCTGTTATCCCAGAGGTCAAGCAAGACTATCAACAGTACTGGCCACAGCTGTTAACAGGGCTCTCCTTTCAGTGAAACTCAAAGCAACCAGGCACAAGAGGTGTTAGCAGAGTCCACTGGAGGGGGACCCAGACATGAACATGAGACTGGATGAGGCCAGCCAGTTCAGGCTTCCGCATGCAAAACACAAAGGCTGGTCTGAGACCTGGATTCTGTGCTCCCATACAATAGACAGAGCCTAGACTATGCCATGTGTTCACTCAATTCCTTCGCTGCAGAAGGAAGAGATAGATCAGAGTGTTTGTGAATATAATGCATAATACAAAACTCGTGCTGAACTGAAGTAACAGTAGACTTCAGTTTAGAAAGAAAACTAGCAAGTTGTTATGCTATACCCATCTGAAGGTTCTCACATCAAGTGCTATGAAAGACTAAGAGCACTTCCTAATTCAAGCCTTTCTTCTCATCTTACCTAACACTCGACAGTCTCCAGAGACTGAGATTAATAGTGTACCAGAAATGGCTTCAGGTCCACGAAATGGGGCTATTCTACCTCTTTCTAGTGTCCAGCTTACCCAAATCTACCTGCTGTGCAACAGTTTAAGGACTTGCAGACAAAACAGCTTGCCAGGTATGTCTTTTGCAAGACAAGCAGTTGTCATGCTGGAACTTTGTTTTTAATAAAGTAAAACAAGACAGTTAAGCCTCTCAACCCCCACAGCTTTAAAAGCCAGAGTTTCCCCTTAATAACTTGGAAGCATGGTCTTATGCACCTAAGATTGGAGTGTTATCAATATCTTACAGCTATTTGGCTTATCAATGCCATTCCGAAGTTTGTTTATATTCACAGGAGAAAGAAAAAAAAAAGATACAAAGAGAGAATTTCTGGGAACCTAGGCCTGGAATATCTTCAATTGCATTATATTGGAGAATCTCTATATGTATTTAGGTATTTTGCCCGATCAGTTAACACTTGAATTTTTATCCAGAAGTATTTCCCCCACTGACCTTACTCCCACCTTTAAAAAAAGCCAGGCACTCATAAAATAACATAAATCTCATTAAATGTATAGCATGAGTAAGTATGAGAAACAAGTTTGTAGCAAGTTTCACTCTGTTTCCTCTTCATACACACAACCTTTGATAGAGAGGGCATGCAGGGAAAGTCCCCCTGAGATTATGTTGGTTTTTACCGAATGCCTGGCCAAATCTGGCCATCAGTTGCATGAACCTGTAGTCAGGCCCTCCAGCCTCTGTTCCAATTACTAATGCATGGCATATTATCAGTACAATGTGTTTTAGTGCAGTATAAATATGACTATCATAAGTTTAACATACCTGTTGATAAAGCCATATCCATTTCGGACATTAAACCACTTGACTGTGCCAAGAACTTTCGTGGCTAGAAAGAAAAAGTTTAAGAAGTTACTTTAAAGCATAAGTAGAAGAATGTTACAAAAATACTTTAGTTGCATGTGATGTCCAATCAGAGCTACTCTGGTCCCTTTTTCATCTCCACTTCATTTTGTAGTAGTAGCAGTGTAAAGTGCTACTACTTAAGTGGTGCTTTAACTAAGAGTTTATCACACAGGATACAGAATGAAGTCCAAGCCCTCTTTAAGAATTGGCCATCTATTCCATCTCTTATTTTCTACCCCAGAAATGGGTCAAAGCTGAAAAGCCCACTGCCATTCATCAGTTCTCATTAGCTTAGTAGCTAAACATAAAACACAGATGAAGAAAGTTGTTTAAAAATTCTCATTTTCACTCAGACTTGTCCTCCCTTTATTCTTTGGAAACCAGAACAAGCCAAGGAAGTAGTGTCAAACACCACACAGCTCTCAAGTGGAAAGGCAGGACACCTTTAATTTGGACAGGCTCTTTCCTGCACTGTCAACACCACTGTAACCAAACAAGACATCACAGGATGTTATTCCTTTAATATTCCAACTTCCAGAGATCATCTATGATTTACAGGTTACAAACCAACCAACTTTATGTTCCAAGACTTCTAGGGTCAAAACAAGCTCCTATGCCACACAACACCAAAAACCAGCATCTTACTGAGAAGCCATACTACAGTGTCTTACAAGATCTGGCAAAACCTGTTCCTCCAACATATAGGAATGTGTGGGAGGAACTCCACAGTGATGGAGGTAGTTCAACCACTCCTTCCCTCTCAACAGCTGGGTTGAGACCACAAACCTGTACTTTTCTAACTTGTAGGAAAGGGAGGATTCGGGGCTGCAGACTGAAAAAGATGTTACTTGCTACACTGCACAACCACAACTATCTAAGCAATCTGTAGTACTTATTTTTAAAGTGTCTGGTAACCTACAGATGACTGCTTGTTAAAAACTGCTTATGTTTGAGGAGCAGGGGGGAAATGCAGAAATGGAAGAGGCAACTGGAAAATAGTTTACAAACTCTAGTTCAGAAGCCCAAGTCAGTCTGCTAGAGGCAACACCACCACAATGCAAATCGTTATCTTCACCTCCATTCTTCCCTAAACATCCACCAGGAGATGACAGGGGTAGCCAGACCTTTGGTCTCACACAGTCTTGCCATTCTTACATATCCTCCTGACAAGTAAGAGCAACCTCTTTTTCTTCCCCTGAATACAGAGCTAAAGTAGGAGTGTTTGCTGACAGCAGTCCGTTGTAGTACTGTTGCTGTTATTGAAAGTATTAACAGACCTTTTCTCATTGCACCTTTAGAAGGTAAGGTTTTAGTCTTCTTTAATTCAATTTTTTTAGCTTGTATTTAGAAGAAGCAAGACAATGTTAAGATTGACACAGTTATTAGAGAAAAAGTCTCTACTTATGCCAGACTTTTCGTTTACAGAGATAAAACCCCTAAGTGTCATTGCCTAGCAGATTCAGTAACAATAACAGGCTTCAGCATCAACATTTATAGTTGTGCTTTCATGGAGACATTACTAGGTAAAACACTTACTCCTACCACGAAGGCACTGCCTACATGCAACAGGTTACTGCACTAAGAGAAATAGAAGAGGGAAGGAAAGCAGAGGGGGGTGAGGTGAAGCACACAAACAGGTGCCAATGGCACATGCAGGTTTTAGCCTGCTTTAAGAAACAAGGCTAATACTGACTCCCCCACCATTGCACTTTCCCTCCCCCACAAAACAGCTATTGAATCTATTGGCCTATTTCCATCAGATTAGGAAGAGGGTGAGAAGCACAGGAAGCCTGAAAAAACCCTTATAGGAGTCAGAAAGATGGTGAGAGGTAGTCAAAACACTCTACATGACCAGATGGATGCTGAGAAATCCAAGTCCACAAACACAGCTTCAAAGCAACACTGCTGCTCTTGCAGAAGCTGCAAGAGACTAGGCAGGACTCTTCTGTACAATCCTTGAGACAGTGTACTGGGGAAGCATAATTCCCTACCCACACAAGTCTTCCAGCCTCCTCTAAGTATTACCTTGGAGGAAACACATCGGACAAAATGGGATCACACCTAACACATCAAAAATCCGCATGGCCATAGCGCAACCATTTGTTAAGCCTAAGCTGTCATAACAGGGGCATCAGGCAAGGAGAAGGATAAGCCCAGAGGAAACCATAACTAATTTTACTGACAGTCAGAAAAAGCAGGTGACGTGGTGATGCCTATCCCTCCAGCAAGTCAAAGCCCAAGTATTTTTTCAAGATGCAGTACTCTGATGATACGAGAGGAAACAATCATCAGCCACTCCCACCTATGCCAAAATGGCCCTTCCATTAGTTTTAACAAGGAAAGGCAAAGGAAAGGCAAAGGTCCCTGTGACCAAGACAAAAAAGAAAGTTAAATAACCTTTATCCTTATTCCTATGGATGCCCTGGGCATCAGACCTTGCTTCTAATGAGATCTCTGTAAGTGGAGACTTACATGAGCATAATGAAATACCATTAATAGGGACATCTGAGGTAAACATAAGCCCATCTTCAATTAGCAATTCAATTATAACTTTCCTCACAACTCCTGCTAAAAATCTTACCTGGCAATAAATCCAGCGTGCAAAACCATCACCATGGTGGTTTTATTTTTCCTATTAGACTAGGAAATGCTCTTGTGCCTACAGTTCCCTCCCCCCAAGCAATAGCTAGAGGTAAATGAGGAAAAAATGTTGCCAAGAATTAAGGAAGCAGTGTTAAGGCAAGAAGCAGCCAGATGTACCAACAGATGTGGATGTACCTTGACTTATAACTGAGGAATCTGATGACAGAACTGGGGAAAACCACGTAAACTGCACCTCAAACTTCTGTTCTGCTAGAATCAGAGCTCCAGAGAAATCTTCTACCTGGCTCTGCTATGTGCTGCAGTAAGACCTCAGTCTTTCCTCGGTGAAGTTCAGGACACTGCCCTGGCAGGCAGCCTCAGCTTTGCCTTTAACAACTTACCAAAGTTCTAAACAGCACATCCCTATTTCCACCACAGTTTGAAACCTCGTCCCCTTCAACAGGTTGATCCTGTTGAATCGCAACACAGAAACGCTAGCGATGCCCTGGATTCGAGCACACAGACAGCAACTCGGCATTTCACCGATAAACCCGTGCCTCTTCACTGATAAAGCAGGTATTAAAAGCCCATTAATCCTACAGGCGTAATTAAAGCTGTATTTTTATTTTTTTTTTACAAACGCAAAAGCTGTGCGAAGACCTTACGGCTAAGGGGGAGGGCAGGGCACAGCCGGGGATGCCGGTGCCGGGCAGGGGTGGGCGGCAGGTGCCGGCAAGTCCCCCAACATGGCTGAACTTCAGCGGCGCCCCCCGCCCGCCCCGAGCTGCCCCAGGCT